TTTGAAATGTTCCACATTTTGTCATGTTACAACCAAAAACATAAATGTATTTTATTGGGATTTTATGTGACAGACCAGCACAAAGTGGCACATAATGTGAAGTGGAAAGTAAATGATAAATGGTTTTCAACATTTATGACAAATAAATACGTGAAAAGTGTGGCATGCATTTGTATTCAGCCCCCCCCCCCCGAGTCAATACTTTGTAGAACCACCTTTCGCTGCAAGTCTTTTTGGGAATGTCTCTACCAGCTTTGCACATCTAGAGAGTAAAATTTCTGCCCATTCTTTGCAAAATAACTCAAGCTCTGTCAGATTGGATGGAGAGCGTCTGTGAACAGCAATTTTCAAGTCTTCCCCCAGATTCTCAATTGGATTTAGGTCTGGACTTTGACTGGGCCATTTTAACACATGCATATGCTTTCATCTAAACCATTCTATTGTAGCTCTAGCTGTATGTTTAGGGTTGTTGTCCTGCTGAAAGGTGAACCTCCGCCCCAGTCTCAAGTTTAACAGATTTTCTTCTAAGATTACCCTGTATTGGGCTCCATCCATCTTCCCATCAACTCTGACCAGCTTCCTTGTACCTAATGAAGAAAAGCATCCCAACAACATGATGCTGCCACCACCATTATTCACGGTGGGGATGGTGTGTTCAGGGTAATGTGCAGTGTTAGTTTTTTCTGCCACACGTAGCGTTTTGCTTTAAGGCCAAAAAGTTCAATTTTGGAGTCATCAGACCAGAGCACTTTCTTCCACGTTTGCTGTGTCCCCCACATGGCTTCTCACAAACTGCAAACGGGACTTCTTATGGCTTTCTTTCAATAATGACTTTCTTCTTGCCACTCTTCCATAAAGGCCAGATTTGTGGAGTGCACGACTAATAGTTGTCCTGTGGACAGATTCTCTTACCTGAGCAGTGGATCTCTGCAACTCATCCAGAGTTACCTTGGGCCTCTTGGCTGCTTCTCTGATTAATGCTCTCCATTTTCAGATGATGATGAACAGTGCTCCCTGAGATGTTCAAAGCTTGGGATATTTTTTTATAATCTAACCCTGCTTTAAACTTCTCCACAACTTTAGCCCTGGCCTGTCTGGTGTGTTCCTTGGCCTTCATGATGCTGTTTGTTCGCTAATGTTCTCTAACAAACCTCTGAGGGCTTCACAGAACAGCTGTATTTATACTGAGATTAAGTTACACACAGGTGGAATCTGTTTACTAATTAGGTGAGTTCTGAAGGCAATTGGTTCTACTAGATTTTAGTTAGTGTGTATCAGAGGAAAGGGGGCTGAATACAAATGCAAGCCATACCTTTCAGATATTTATTTGTAAAAAATTTTGAAAACCATTTAACATTTTCCTTCCACTTCACAATTATGTGCCACTTTGTGTTGGTCTACCACATACAATCCCAATAACACATTTACATTTTTGGTTGTAGCATGACAAAATATGGAAAATTTCAAGGGGTATGAATACTTTTTTCAAGGCACTGTACACACTCTGCCGAATATGTAAGCCCCCACCCCCACTGCTGCTGACATATGAAATATGCTGATGACAGTGAAAGGGTTAAGGCTAAGTTTAGCTTTTTATTAAAAAAAAATGTTTGTGCATTAAGGGGTCCCAGTGGTGTAAAAAATGTTCTCCAGCTTGAAAAAAACAGATTAGATAACAGGACTTACCAGTAGACCAGTATCTGCTTTGCCAAAGCATAGCCAAAAATCTACCATCCAGAGACACCCACCTATCCTGGTATGGAAGCTAGGTTGCCTTGCCCGGTGAGTACTCCCGCAGTATAATAGGAATGACCACTTTCCCTTGTTCACACACTGGCACGTTCACAGTGTGCTCTCCCTCTTCAGTTGCAGCAGCACTGGGCAATGTTTTCTCCACTATTTGTGGAGGTACATCACAGGGGCTAGGTCAGTAAGGTACAAATTACAAATGTCAGTAGTAAGCGCCTATTTACACATAGTGCAGCGAATGGCATTTCTCCACACTGGAAGAACACCAGTCACCACTAGGACACATGGAAAACAATAGTTCTCTAACTGCCGTGTTCGCACTGTAATCAGGGATGCGCAATTCTCACCGCCCAACGCCCGGGACATGCAGTTCCAGATGCCAGGCAGGTGTTTTTTTTTCTTCCATTTAGCCCTACTGCGGGTAATTAACTTCACTGCAAAATCGTGTGTCTCATAAACTTAAATGCAAAATCGCCTCCCATAGACTTCAATGCAAAAACACCTCTCATAGACTTCAATGCGAAAATTCCTGTCAATAGCAATTCTATGTGAGCACTTATCTCCGCAGGCCACTCTACTCTAACGCTTACGAGTCTGGAACAAACTCGCACAGGACCCTTTCCACAATGGCACTCAAAACACAGTGCCTCTGGATCGCATCTGTGTGAACAACCTCAATAGGAACACATAATATTTAGCCTGTCATGCGAATCTGTTCATTTGAAAATGCATCCAGAATCGTATATGTGTGAACCAGAGCCACTGTGATTCTGCCCGCGATGGCAAAACACTGGTTCACATGCCATTACTTCCAATGGCACCTGAAATATGGTGTAGTTTTTCCACAATTGCAGCACTACAAATTGCATCACATGAAGCTTGTCGCCCAAAAGGTAGTTATGCTCCATTTTGGACAACTAGATTTGTCTGATGCAAATTGTCGCACAGCAATTCTCGTGAAAATCATGTTAAAGCCGCACTGCGTTTTAGGAACAATTGAAAATAATGACACCAGAACCTGCATTTTGAGATTGCAGACAGAATTGCAGCAATTCTGCTGCAATCCAAAAATGCCCAGGTGTGAATGGGGCCTAAAGGAGTGGACACCAGAGCTTGATTTGGCTGCTCGGCAAGTGCCCATACTGAGCATCCAAGTGCTACCATGTGCAAGGGTAAACTGAGGGAATACAGTTTTTTGTGTTTTCTTTCTGATTGGGGCTGGTGCCTTATTTACTTGCTCAGCAGATATGATTCTGCTGAGCTTTAACCTCCCTGGCGGTATGATTATTTCAGATTTTTGGTGCTGAAAGCGGTACCATTATTTTGCATGGAAATACAGTTGTGGCCAAAATTATTCAACCCCCACTGAAATTGAGTGTTTTGGCCAGTTTGACATTGCTTTTGATCATTCAGTCATCTTGATTTACATTAAAGAGGCACTTGTAGGTCAGACAAATATAACATAACAGTTATAATGAAATAACCACAAATGTCTTTTCTGTGCTCACAGCATTATCAGTTTTATTCAACCCCCAAGTGACATTCAATCTTAGTACTTAGTACAGCATCCTTTTACAGTTATAACAGCTTTTAAACGTGAAGCATAGCTTGACACAAGTGTCTTGCAGCGATCTACGGGTATCTTCGCCCATTCTTCATGGCAAAGGCCTCCAGTTCAGTCACATTCTTAGGCTTGCGCACTGCAACTGCTTTCTTTAAGTCCCACCAGAGGTTCTCAATCGGATTTAAGTCTGGTGACTGCGATGGCCACTCCAAAATGTTCCAGCCTTTCCTCTGCCACCATGCTCTAGTGGACTTGGAGGTATGCTTGGGATCATTGTCCTGTTGAAAGGTCCAACGTCTCCCAAGCCTCAGGTGTGTGACGGACTGCATCACGTTTCCATCCAATATCTCCTGGTACTGAAGAGAATTCATGGTACCTTGCACACGCTGAAGCTTCCCTGTACCTGCAGAAGCAAAACAGCCCCAAAGCATGATTGACCCTCCACCATGCTTCACAGTAGGCAAGGTGTTCTTTTCATCATAGGCCTTGTTCTTCCTCCTCCAAACATAGCGTTGATCCATGGGCCCAAACAGTTCTAATTTTGTTTCATCAGTCCACAGAACACTATCCCACAACTTTTGTGGTTTGTCCACATGGCTTTTGGCATACTGCAGTCGACTCTTCTTATTCTTTGGAGACAGCAAGGGGGTACGCCTGGGAGTTCTGGCACGGAGGCCTTCATTACGCAGTGTGCGTCTTATTGTCTGGGCTGAAACTTCTGTACCCACATCTGACAAATCTTTTCTCAGTTCCTCAGCAGTCACACGGGGACTTCTCTCCACTCTACGCTTCAGGTAGCGCACAGCAGTCGAAGTCAGCATCTTCTTTCTGCCACGACCAGGTAGCGTTTCAACAGTGCCCTTTGCCTTGAATTTGCGAATGATGCTTCCTAAGGTGTCTCTTGGTATGTTTAACATCTTTGCAATCTTCTTATAGCCATTGCCCTTCCTGTGAAGAGAAATCACCTCTTCTCTTGTCTTCCTGGACCATTCTCTTGCCTTCACCATGTTTGTAACCACACCAGTAAATGTCTAGAAGGAGCTGAGTATCACAGTCATTTTAAAGCTGCCTAATTGGTGCTTATTATGCTTGATTGCTGCTCGGTGACATCCACAGGTGTTTTCAATACCTGATGGAAAGCACCTGTATGAACCTCTGTTCTTCAGAGTGGTAGTCTTTAAGGGGTTGAATAATTGTGGCAATGAAGAAACCACATAAGAACCATTTACTACTGTATTACATAAACAATTGATGTCATTTTAGTTGCATTTGGGTAGTTACAACGTCCTTGTAGGATTTGATTCTGAATACAATTCCAAATGTACACTATAGTCCCTAAACCCCTTTACAGCATTGGGGGTTGAATAATTTTGGCCACAACTGTATGTATTTTTTTTATTGTAGGCTGTAATTTTTAGGAATAACTCACTGAAATCTGTCCGAACAAGAGTCTAGTAAACATCCCGGGTATGATAAAACTTGAAATACAAAATCATAAATTATAATTTAATAAATAATCATAAAAAATAATAATATAATAATAAATTTAATTCAATAATATTATCAAACCAAAAACACTGAAATTTGAAATACAGCGCCAAGTTCGCACATCACTGAGCAAAGTTGCAGAATTTTGACCTAAAGGGACGCTTTTTGGACGCCATGGACATTTCTAAGTTTCCAGGCAGAAAGAACAGTCAAAATGCAGGCAGGGCGCAGGACAAAGCACTAGGGACAAAATGTATGTGAAATGGTTTGAAACAGTAATGTTTTACTATGTAATATACGTTTACAAAAAAATGACATTTTTAAAAAATTTAAAATTTCCCGCCGGTTCTGTCCCCCGTACATCCCGTACGTCCTGACGTCACAGGGACCGGAACACGAAAGCCGGATGCCGGCATCGGCCGGAGGAGATGGCCGGGGACGCTGCAGGGGACGCATCGCGGGAGCGAAGGACAAGGTAAGCGTTGCAGGGACTCCCTGAGCAACGCCGCATGGTAAGCCCGAGTGTAGCTCGGGGTTACTGCTCTTGGTACTGAAATTTTACCCCGAGCTACACTCGGGAATACCGCCAGGGAGGTTAAAAGAGCCTGACACTCACCTTTCCTGACAAGCACCCAATTAGTGCTTGTCACACTGCAAGGTCTCTCCCCTCCATGCTAGTCCCTGGGTGTGGAGCTGGAGATAGGCAGGAAGGTGAGGAGGAGATGAACAGTGTGGAATGTTAAAAATGTAAAAAAAATTGTCACCAAGAAGCCCCTTTTGTTTTTAAAAGCCCCAGACAATCCTAAAAGCACCTCTGCCTAATAAAAAACATCAACCCTTCATATTTTTTGTTATCAGGACAAATAGGTTGTCATGAAGGACAAGTAAATTGGAACCCTGATTTAGTCCTTTGGACAAGTAGTTTTTTTTTAAATTTCCACACCCTTTGTGCAATGTAGCCCAGAGCTGCAGTGCAGTGAGCTGCAATACAATGCAGACATGCTACATTTTATTGCAGCACTTAGGAAGGCAGCACATGTCACTGTACAGTAGCGCAATATACCACTCTGCTGTAAAGTGACATGAATGAAGTGTCATTTTGTGCACCTCACATTAAGTTCACATAAAAAAAAAAATATGTCAGCTGTGCGATATGGTATAAAGCGAATCCCACCACACCCTACCGTTGGCTCACTGGAGCTGGAACGGGCCCAATAAAGCAATCCAATTTAGTGTGCGAGCAATATAAATGGGCCCTAGGTTATGGAGTGCACAAATCTGGTGCAACTCTGCATAGAAACCAATCAGCTTCCAAGTTTTAATGCAAAAGCTAAATTGAACAAGCAGAAGTTAGAAGATGATTGGCTACCATGCGCAGCTACACCAAATTCTGAGTGCACCAGTTTTAGTAAATCTACTCCTTAGTGTTTGCTCTGATATCGCAAAACTGTTCCCATCAGGTTTCATCATTAATGACATCATCAGGGGCTCAGTGATGATGTCCGCAATAATGAAATGCATTACAGAAAGGTCTGTGATCTGGTCTGTGAGCAGGAGGAGGTGAGTGCAGCAGTCAGCTGGCGGTTCATGTCTATGTTATGACAAATGAGAGAGTGCACAGCCACACACATAGAGCACTTGGAGTTTTTTATGTCTATTTATTGTTTTCATATTTTTGGTGATATGATTGTTTTCTCTAATTTGTCACATTTATGAATATTTAGCATCAGCAAATTTTAGCGCAATACACTTATGTTTATGTACCAATGAGTGATTTGATCACTTTGTGTTTGTTGCTTATTTTTGCTTTGTGCACAGATTTCCTTTTATACACATTGCCGTAATATACCCACATGGCCATATTAGGTCAGTGATGTCACAGGCATCCCTATTCCTTTACACGTGAATCTGTAAGGTGGAGAATGCTCTGGCCACAGTTAGTTTATTGGGCAGCAATGAGCTGGAGTGACAGCTTCTTTCCGTGTTTTCGGTCCAGATCCAGTTTGAACCAAACTCACCCTTAAGTCACACTAGTGTAGCGGGGCCATTGCTGTTTCCCTTTTAAAGAACTATTTCCCTATTAAGACTGCATGTTGTCAGAAAGGGTTTGATTGGCTCAGCTCTCAGCAGTACTGGAGTGTTTGTGGGAGTTGCAGTTTCATTACAGAGGCAGACAATGTAACTTTATACTGCACAGAACTACAAGACCAGGATGCTTTGCAAGGAAGAAGGGGGGAGGAGCCACAAGTGCCTTTGCAGAGGACATGTGGGAGCTAGTCTGCAGCCCCTACTGTTGAAGTACACTGACACTGTTTCCAGATCAGCAGAGGTTGCTAAGGACAAAGGTTATCTACAGCAGCTGAAGTCAGCGGCAACTGTGATCATTGGTACCAGTCACCAGCGATGGCAGTTACCGACAGCAACGACATCTCCCACCGCAGAGAGAGGTCAGAGTGTTGGAAAACGCAGAGGAGGCATGTGACCATCCCAGGCGAGGCACCTGACAACAGGAAACACTAGTCAGAGAGAGAAAGCCCCAATCATCATCCCTTCAAGGAGTTAACCCCTGGAGACTGTTCTTCTTGGATGTGGTGAGCAACTGCTAACCAGTGACATGTCAGTCCTTAAGAGTGCTCCACCAATTCACTAACACAGGCCTGTGCAACACATAGACTCACACAGTGTTACAATCCCACAATATACAAGTGAATTTGGGACGGAGTCTAAAGAGATGTCAGTTTAGCTGGGGACATATTGCTGCTGTAGTTGCAGGGGGTTAATTCTGATCTATAGCTATACCAGTATATACTGTACGTATATACATGAATATTGTGTTTATTGATGTTATTGTGCCAATTCTAGAAGGATTGTATATTCAGTGCATTTAACTGCTATTTTCCAAGTTAATTTGCAGTCTATTTCAGAGTTTTATTAAACCTGTTATAAAGCTTCCCACAAGGTGTACTGGTGTGCTGTGGATCCAATATATATATATATATATATATATATATATATATATATATATATATATATATATATACTGAGGAACAGAAGTATTTGAACACCCTGCTATTTTGCAAATTTCCCACTTAGAAATCATGGAGGGGTCTGAAATTCACATTGTAGGCGCATTTCCACTCTGAGAGACAGAATTAAAAAAAAAATTCAGGAAATCACATTGTATGATTTTTAAAGAATTTATTTGTCTTGCACTGCTGAACATAAGTATTCGAACACCTGAGAAAATCAGTGTTAATATTTGGTACAGAAGCCTTTGTTTGCAATTACAGAGGTCAAACGTTTCCTGTAGTTCTTGACCAGGTTTGCACACACTGCAACAGGGATTTTGGCCCACTCCTCCACACAGATCTCCTCTAGATCTGTCAGGTTTCGGGGCTGTCGCTGAGCAACACAGAGTTTCAGCTCCCTCCAAAGATGTTCTATTGGATTTAGGTCTGGAGACTGGCTAGGCCACTCCAGAACCTAGATATGCTTCTTACGGAGCCACTCCTTGGTTATCCTGGCTGTGTGTTTTGGGTCGTTGTCATGTTGGAAGACCCAGCCACGACCCATCTTCAATGCTCTGACTGAGGGAAGGAGGTTGTTGCTGAAAATCTCACAATAAATGGCCCCATTCATCCTCTCCTTAATACAATGCAGTCATACTGTCCCCTTCGCAGAAAAGCACCCCCAAAGCATGATGTTACCACCCCCATGCTTCACAGTAGGAGTGGTGTTCTTGGGATGCAACTCATCCTTCTTTTTCCTCCAAACATGACGAGTGAAGTTTAGACCAAAAAGTTCTACTTTGGTCTTATCTGACCACATGACTTTCTCCCATGCCTCCTCTGGATCATCGAGATGGTCATTGGCAAACTTCAGATCCTGGACATGTGATGACTTGAGCAGGGGAACCTTCTGTGCATGCATACTGTGTCCGCGGTCTCTGGTCATCTCCTGTACTGTCTGCAGTCTCTGATCATTCCCTGTACTATGTCCGCAGTCTCTGGTCATTCCCTGTACTGTGTCCGCAGTCTCTGGTCATCCCCTGTACTGTGTCCGCAGTCTCTGGTCATCTCCTGTACTGTGTCCGCAGTCTCTGGTCATCTCCTGTACTGTGTCCGCAGTCTCTGGTCATCTCCTGTACTATGTCTGCAGTCTCTGGTAATCCCCTGTACTGTGTCCACAGTCTCTGGTCATCTCCTGTACTGTGTCTGCAGTCCATTGGTTCAGAATATTTTTTTTCTTGTTTTTCTCCTCTAAAACCTAGGCGCGTCTTATGGTCAGGTGCGTCTTATGGAGCAAAAAATACGGTACTTACATATTTCAATCTATTTTACATTTAAATACATGATGTTGCCTTCCACCATTTGATGTTTAAGTTTCATTTTGTAATTTATCAATTTTAAGTACATTTTATTTATATACATTTAGATGCAATTTTATATATGTCTTTGCCGTCAGTAATTATGAAACTATTCTATGAACTTGAACTGACTAAGTAACTCTATTCTATATAAAATACTTATTAATCATGAATTTCATACAGTTTCATTGATCATTATTAAGCTTTTTTTCTTGATTTCTCTACTATTAAATCATACACATGGTTCTCAGTCTTAATTCAAATGTATTAAATTATTGATTGTCCCTAATGAAAGTGGTCAGACGCTACAGCTGGCTTCTGTATTCTTCACCTATAGAAGCCCCCTTTCCCATAAAGCAAGCAGGCCTACCAACACTTGGTTGCCCCCAGGATTTATACACAATGCTATAGTGCCTGGCTACCACACTGGGGCAAGTGCGAACTGAACAGAGCAAACAGGTACTTGTGGTTGGTAGACAGGCAGAATGGTTTAATGACAGTCCAGGTACAAGGCAGGCAAGGTTCAGAATAGTCATGGTCAAATCCATAGTCAAAAGGCAGGCAGAGCTCAGAGAGTAGTCAAAATCCAATCCAAGATTGTCGATAAGGGAATCCAAACCAGCAGAGCAGGGCAGACAAATGGGGAGCTTGGAGCACATGTTACTAAATCAATATCACATGCATGAGACTGCAGGCTTGGCTGACTTAAATCAGGTTTGGTCTCCACCCAGAGACGGGCCACATCAATCACATCAATGTATCACAACCAAAACCAGGATGCTGGAATGAGATCAGTAGCTGTGGTGGAGCAAGAGCGCTAAACGCTCCTGACACTGATCACCAATGTTTCCACAAAACATATATTGACTTTATGAATTTATTTTTAACAAAGGATAAATATGTAAAGTCATTAAGGAGACTATGGGGTACTTTCAAATTCGACTGAACGATTCATTAGGGTTCAGTTTGTAATAAATTACTTTAAAGGTTTCTTGGACTTAGTTTTTCAACCTGAGATTATCCAAAATGTTAAATTATCAAGGTTACCACCAAGCATTGTCTATATACTGTATATCTTGCTGAAATTCTATCTCATTTCAGCATGATATCAATTATACATTTGGGAATTCATCTTCTAAATTGCTTTATTGTCTTCCAAATATAGTTTTGAACAAGGAGATCCGGCAGCATATATATCACTCCCGAGAAGCCACAATTATAGAATGTTCTTATTTCTATCAGTTTTCCATTTTTAAGGTTAGTGATTTATTATCACCTAAATGATACTTGTGACTTTTCTAGTAACCAAGAATTCTTGGATCACTTTTTTTTGTAGTTGTTTTGGGTTTCAAAGTAGCTGCTTTTCTCTCCAGTAATGCTGGGGGTGAACGTCCAATGGTTTTCACATCCTAGCAACAAGGCACGATGTGGAGCTTGCTAATTGGGAGTTTTTCCACCAGGCTTCCAAAGGGACCCAAATGGTCTACAGGTATGACACTAAAATTAACAAACAATTAACAAAGCTGCATAGTTTTAATACCTATTAAGGGTCATAATGGCATAGGCTTTTTTTTTTAGAAAACATGGAATTTAGCCTTAATGCTTTTGATGCCTGGGGAGGGTATATCTCTGGAGGTGCTTAGTTTATGCTTCCCAGGCCTACTGTATGGGAAAGGAAACTGCAGCGGAAGAAGAAGCCCTGTTTAGTCAACTGCCAGTTTTAGTTCAAAGGTTTACAAATAGAAATTGCTGGTCTCAGCTCATAGGTAACAACTATTTTATACAGGATTTTTAGACAACTAGCTTGTGAGAAGGGCTGAAGATACTTAAGGGTAGTTGGCTGCTCTAGACCTACAGAGTTTGTGTTAGCCTGTGACAGAGGCATCAAAATACAAGAAGATGCTGCTAAGCAGAGACTTTTTGCTGCTGTTTTTTTTTCTTTGGCTGTCATCGTCTCAGTGCCACACCCTTCCATAGCTAAAGAGGAAGAGTTGCATAGTAATCCTTAAAGTAACCAAGGGAGGGAGAACAGGAGGGGGAAAAAGTGGAGGAAAAGGGGAAAATATAAGGAATAAAGAAAACTCCTTGAAGCAATAACAGTTGTGTAACATTCATCTCATAATTCATTCCTTTTGGGATACTAGTGTCCAATTTAAAAAGTCAGGAAGGAAAACCAGTCTCGTCCTTTATTCCAGAGTTCAAATCATGGAAAAAGTGGATTGTCTGATTAGTCTATACTAGACTGATGGTGCTCTAAAAAATGTCTAGCTAACTTTGATCCCACATTCTTCTTGTTGTCTAACCTACGTACTGTTTCCTGCATGATAGACACAAATTCACATATACAACATACCTTGTTAGACAGTTCATGAGCTTGTAGGTAGGTGCAGTCTGTACTCTCCTCTAGGTGGCACTAGGTTTGAACGGCAATGCAGAAGGTGAAGGAAGTTGCGAGGAACGTAGTTCCTCTATGACTTCCTGTAGTCATCAGGGGTGCAGCTATCTGATTTGGATGCTGGTGCCCTCTTTGACCTCCACGGCCAACTTTGGTGAGGGCAGTATTTATTTAAGACACTGGCTCCCTGATTTGATGCACATTTTGCAAGTGGATATTGTAGGGACAGGTTCCCCATCTGTCAGGGAAAGTGTTTAGAGTCAGGGAGAGGTTCTGGAGGAGTAGGGACAGTGCAGGCACTACGCCTATCCCCTCCTATAGAAAGCCTCCCCTTTGGATGTGGACTGGTCAGGTGGCATTCCTGATCCTCATTGCAGATGCTGTCAACATCATCAAAAGTCAACAGATCGCTGCTACACTTTTGTAAATGGTTCCAGACAACTTAGCCTACCTGACAGGCCTAAATGTACCTTGTTGGAATCTCTGTAACACACAGTTCACGTCACCTCGGCCTCTATGTGATTTCTGCTGCCAGCACACCACGCTGCATCCTGCTCACACTTGGCATAGTTGGCAGAGTATGCCCTTTTTCGCCGCTGGTGCAGATGGAGGAGCGGGGGCCACTATGGCACGAGTAGGGGCAGCCTTTGCCTTTGTTCCCAAGTTCAATTTGTTGGACATCTTTCAGTGTGGGGAAAAAAGACTGGAGAGTGCTTCCCGCCTGTATCAGGTCCCTACCAGGCTGATTGCAGAGTTGGCTAATAAATCACTAGAGGACAATGCCTGCTGAGTGGTGATGGTGCTACCCAAAGACTCCCGGGCAGGGAACAAATTGTGAAGGCCTGATTGAGAATGTGGCAGTCCCGGAACTGAGATGCAGGTTTTTTTGTCCCCACAAAGCAGGAGGAATGCCTCACACACTTTGCTGTAGCCCTCCAAAATCTATGGAAAAAGCTAGAGAAGAAAGACGTACATGGCTGTGCCAACATAGGTGCCCCAGATAAGTTGTTGTGGGAAAAGTTTGTGGGAGGAATGAAGGCTGACCCCATTGAGAGACCTCTGCAGGACCGAGTGAGAACGCAGCCTTTCCTCACTTCCAATGACACAGTGGTACAAGTGGGAGCTGGAAGACGCAGAGAATATCGTTGCGATGGCTAAGAAACAGAAAACACTGTACGTAAGAGAGGAGGCTCTGACATTATCCTCCCTGTCAGGGGTACCTGCACTGTCAAAATACACTATTCAGCGCTGTAGACAATGAGCAAATTAAAGTTTTCCAAAAGTCCCAATGAACAGAATTTTAATTGACTTCTGTCAAGCAGGAACAGCCATAGATGGATCAGAATTCGGCCAGTCCCTGCTGAACCAGACAAATTTCAACCCATCTATGGCCAGTTTTAGACAATGTAGTCAGAGATTATTGTGATTGTTTAAGAGAGTTTGTTATTCTGGATTAAAATTAGAATGTAAGGCCATTGCACAACCATCACTACCAGACACACCTGAAGTGTAAATGATGGGCAATAGATAAAAAAAAAATATGAAAAATCTTAAAAGGAAACAATAATAAAGGTTGTTTTTTTTATCTGGTGGGTAGGATGATGTGCATCGTATTCCAGATATCTGATAATATATTTTTGAAATGTTCCTGAATATTAAAAGATTTAGTGGAAAGCGACTGGCTGAAAATATTCTCTAAGATAATATAGGTGGGATTTCAGCTTTCATGAAAAAAAGCAGGTGATGTAAACTCAGATATGTGTAACAAGATAGAAAAGATGAACCATTTGTACTGGAGACATTATTTATTTAGCATGATAGCTTGACAGACAAGAAGAGCTATTACTAAAAGATGGATCATCATAGAAAGCAAGTTGCATATTGTACACTGAAATAACAATTACCTCTGAAAATGTTTTCTCGATTAGTCTATGGCCACCAGCAAACTGGCATGGATGCTGTATCCATTATCTCTGTTGAAAGATGCACAAATAATGTGTTTATTTTCATCCATTTTACATGGAGATTGCCTACATTTGATTTAAGTGAGATGGCTTTTTAGAAAGCACACAAGCGAAATGCCTTTCATGGGTAATTTCTGAAAAATTACTTGCCATGGACTACAAGTTACAGTGTAATACAAGGGCAATATGTCTCATAGTTTTATACAGTATTTAGATGGGTTCAGTTTATTTCCATATGTTTTACTATTTAATCGATATTTTAATGCTCACTCAATTAATGCAAGGCTTCATGTACAGCAGGTAGATGCAGAAGTGCTTCCAGTGCCTGTTGACTGAGTTCTATGTACCCCTTGCTGTCAGCACAGTGAGCAGTAGAAGTAAACTGGACAGCAGTGTTCAATGAAACCAGATAAGGTTTCAACAACATTTTATTGAAGCATTAAAAATAAAAGTTTAACAATGAAGTTTTCAATAAAATGTCAAAAGTGGAACTTGAAAAGAAAATAATATTATCATCAGACCAGTCAATAAGGGT